CTGTTCCTATAAGTGAAAGGAAGATTAGCATCTGGCTCTGCCTGTAATGGCTAGGTGATGTGCCTGTCTATAATTACATCAAGAATAGAATGAGATCATCGTGAAAGGATTGTAATGGCATGCTCACTACACACTCAAATGTGTACATATTCTTACAATATAGATGGTAAACAAGATTACCAAAAAATAACCTCTCTCCAAAAAAGCAATTTTAAGTCTAGCAATACTTCGTTTATGGTCACACTAGATGCCATATCAATCTTTTTTAAGCCTTTCTGTAAAGCTAGTTATATCAATGTGTTAAAGGTACAAGTGGTACTGTCTTGAATCATAAAATTTGGACCTGCTGAATACTCTTCTGAATGCTTAGCTATATCCTTCTGCCTATAAATATATGCATGAAATTAAAAAAAAGAATAAACAGGAAAAAACACCAAAAAAATCAACACCTTGATTTTAGGAAAATTTTCCGCCATGTCAATAGTCTTGTCAGTCACTATAACAAAAGACCCAGTTTTGCTTCTGTCTAGTCTTCACTGAGTTCTTTCTGGGACATAGAGTGCTGTCAAGGTTTTGCTGCTTTCCTCATTTGATTTTTCTGTGTTGTTTACCAGTGTTTTGAGCACAATGCTTTTATTTTGTGTTGTGGCAGGTGGGTAGTTCATGTAAAAATTCCTGCACAGCCAAGCATATGACTGCAGTCAAAATCTTAATAAACTTTTCCATGATACTGCCTATCATAAGAAATGCGCATTTGAGAAATCAATAAATATTTTATTTTCCATGACATAGATTGCTCTCAAGAATGAAGGCTTGTGTTTTCTTGTTGCAGTATCAGTAAGCTTCGGTGATATAGTGAGAGTATTTGGGGTGTTGGTTTTTTTTTTCTTTGTGTATTGTAAATGCTTAATCTTGACATTAAGTGCTGGCTTTTGTGATTCTTCACAAGTGTTGCACTTAACAATTTTTATGGTCTCCTGAAGCATTTAGCCATGTTAAATGTGGAGCCCTGGCATAATGTGAAAAAACACAGGACTGAGGTTTTATTTTATTGTGAAGTTTTCTGTCCCTCTTTCTTCCTCTCCTGCCCTGCCATACCCAAAATTTGGAAAACAGTAAATCTCAAATGTCTAGGGCATGAAGTTGAAACATAATTAGTGCTTTTCTAATGTGTATATAGTTATGTTGATTTTAAGGCAAGGAAATCCATCTGCAGGTAGACCAAAAAGTCCTTGTTGCTGGCATTGGTGGGAGTCACTAGGAACATTACTTAGGTATTTAAATCCCAGTAGTTAAAGATATTGAAGAATGGTCATGCAGGCGATAAGATCAGTTGCATCACAGAATCTGACAAACCATAAAGACAGCATTTCATCTTCATTGCTGCAGGTAACGTTGAATAGTTAGAATCATAGAATCATAGAATTGTCAGGGTTGGAAGGGACCTTAAAGATCATCTAGTTTCAACCCTCACACCATGGGTGGGAACATCCTCCATTAGACTAGGTTGCCCAGAGCCCCATCCAGCCTGGCCTTAAAAAGTTTCAGGGATGGGGCTTCCACCACCTCTCTGGGCAACCTGTCCCAGTGTCTCACCACCCTCATGGTGAAGAACTTCTTCCTAACGTCAAATCTGAACCGATCCATCTCTAGCTTCAATCCATTCCCTCTAGTCCTGTCACTACCTGACATCCTAAAAAGCCCCTCACCAGCTTTCTTGAAGGCCCCCTTGAGATACTGGAAGGCCACAATAAGGTCTCCTTGGAGCTGCCTTTTCTCCAGACTCAACAAGCCCAACTCTCTCAGTCTGTCTTCACAGTAGAGGTGCTCCAGCCCTCTAATCATCCTCCAGGCAGGGAAGTTGGAACTAGGTGATCTTTAAGGTCCCTTCCAACCCTGACAATTCTGTGATTCTATGACTGGAAAGGTTAGTGGAGTTTCAGGGCTGTGACTAGGAACAGTCTGTTTAGCCTTGTTACCGCTGCAGCCCTGGTGGATATGGTGTTGCTGGGAGTGATGGTTCACACTGCGGTCAGTATCCACCGTGGAGTTGATCACTGTGTTAGACATCTGTGTCCCTCTTGTTTTGCCCAGTGTAGGCACTCCCTGTGTTGACATGAGGGCTCCCCAGGGACTGCCTACACGTACTAGTCATGCCCTGCTGCAGCTCTTGGCAGGGGAAGAGGACTCCAGCAGCCTCCTTCTCCTGTGGAGTAGAGAGGTGGTGGTGTAGGTGGGTAGGCACCATTGCCTCACCTGAGGGAACAAAGGAAGAGAGCTGTAGCAGGTTTGGATCAGCTGTTCAGGGTGCTTCAAAATGAGATCCAAGGCCAGTATTGCAGATGGTGTGTGATAGTATTGGCCCAGAGCAGTACTATATTTAGGGCTGTGTCTGCTTAGAAGTGCACCACTGTGGTGCTGTTATGCCCATCAGTAATAAACAACGGAGCAGGGATTTTTTTTTTAATTTGTTTTTACCTGGTTAAGTCAGGCATGATCTTTTGAAAATTAATATACAGATGTTTTCTGCAATAGCTCAATGAAAAAGATTTCCCTGACTTTCTTGCTTTTATGCTAATTGCCACAGAAGGTGCTTAAATGACAAATGCTTTTTCTGTTCCTTTGGAACTCATTAATGAATGTCTTGGTCACTTGATGCAAACTGCTTTTTAGACAGCTTGGTGAAAGTGTGATCAATACTTGATTAATTTTTAAGGATCAAAATGGGAGCTGACCGAAGGTTTTTGTGAGGGAGTGAATTTGTTTTTGTGATACTCAAAATACATTGGATATTAATTAAAATATTGTTGTGTTTTGGATCTAGGTAAAGCAATTGTAAGCTTATAGGTAAAGCAGATTACTGGTGTGCCAAATACAGCTGCAATTTCCGTAATAGATTTTGTTGGTTAGGATTTCTACTATTTGTTTTTATATGCTCTTCTCAGCTTCTAAATAGCCTTAGACATAGATGTCTAGCTGTCCTATTCAGTGTAGAGTAAACTTGTTCTTGTGTTCATGTACTTTGCTACTTCTAATCACTGTGTTGTATCTTAGATCTCAGTGGTTCCCAAATAGCTGATCATTTTCAGATTATTGCAGATTGGTAAGTAACTTTCTCAACATGTGAAATTGAAAACCAAAACAAAATGTTCAGCTGGTTGCTGCAGAGAACTTACATTATGGTGAAGATAATTTGAGAACCACCTCTTTTTTTGATATATGTACACTGAATTCTTTCAGAAGTAATACAGGTACTTGCATCTTTAGCAGTCATGGATTATTGGGGGCTGTAGTACACTAGGAATATTTCAATGCAAAATGCAAGCATAACTTCTGGGACAGGAGCCAGTGGTTAGGCTTCCTTCTGTCACCTTCCAGCGCACAGTATGCATCTCTGGGGTATAGTCATTTTTGCTTTTGCTTTTTCCTTTTCTATGGAGTGGTGAAAAATACCGCACTTGATTTTCTCATAGAATGAATTGTCAGTGGTGGAATGTTGCAAAATGGTTTTGATGTGCTTTCCTTGACCAGAGTTGTGTCTCTTTGGCTTCCTTAGAGATGACTAGACTATTTTATAAAAATTTAATTTGCATCATCATTTTGTTAAGTTTTTGAGTTAGAAAGGTTTTAAAGATGATGATCTATGCAAATATTCCTCAATACTTGTATAGCTACCGTTCTTTTTGACAATGGCTGTACATGTGTCCTTAAGTCCCAGGTGTTCAGCCTTAAAACAGGATCACATAGTCTTTTTAAGTTAGTATTATATACAGTTATTGTTAATAAAACAATTTCTGTTGAATCTTAAATGTCTCTTTAGTAGATCTTCCATCCATGTAGTATATATATGCTTCATCTTTAATTGAGTACTATTTCCAGGTAAATGTAAATTTTAAAATGTTATCTAATAGTAATCATCAATACATATTCTTAGAACTTTCGAAAACAAAACCAAGGAAATTGAGCTGTCTCAAATTTTAAAAGTCTTTTAGATGAGAGTTATGCATCATACCTTAGAGAAAAAAGGGCAGAAAGTTATTTGAGAATCTCTGCAGCTGATCTGAGTTCCTGTCATCTCTAAAGTAAGATTTTAACTTTGACTTGTCAATTGTGTTGTATTGTAAACAACTTACCTTTTAATAAAGAGTACATGTCTGTGCGTGCATAATAAAAAATGGGAAGGGAAAAGAACGGGAAGAAGAGTACTTCATCACAAGTTTTCGAGCTATTTTGCTAAGTACTGTTCTCATTTAGCTATTTGTTGCAATTGTAGTAAGCAGTTTCCTTGAGGCTATTATCTCGGATTTTGGGGAGCTCCTCCTTAAGCTACTGTCAAGTTGAAACCAGTGACACCTGGTAAAGTCCAGGAGCAGTGCCAGATGCTCGAGGTAGACTGGTAAAGCAGATGGGTGTATCAGGCAAAGACTTTGCTAAGTCTGAATAGAACTTGGTTTGCCTTCAAAAATATGCAGCACAAAACATTTTTACCCTTAGAGATCTCTTGTAGCATGACATAAATGTGAATGAATGTCCTGTGTGGAGCAGTATTAACTATGTTATTGAAGCACCGATCACTGTTCTGGATCCAGTGTAATAATTTTATCCTTTCACTCAATTCTTTTGTCTTCCCTACAGCCCCTTCCTTTCCATATACAAAACTATAATTCCCTTAAACAAATTAAACTATTCTTTTTTTCTAATGGGCTGCTTTCCTGTGTAGCCCGAAGAGCAGTTTTCAGTGCTTCTCTCTTAAAAGAGGTACCAAAATGGCCTGTGAATTTTAAGAGTCAGAAAGTATGAAAAAAATGTTTTTGCATGCATTGTTTTGTGCTGTGCAGTGCTGGAAGCGTATTAACTTGTAACTACAGTTAGGAGTGGCAAGGGATTGCAGGGGAACACCAAAGCTGAACATTGTATTGCTTATTTCCCTTTTTGATTTTCAAAGTAGTTAAATGGAATTAACTGAAATGAAAATAGTAATTTTAGCTTTTTCTTTACAGGTTTGATCCTTCTATTCTATCTGGTATTTTATGGCTTTCTTGCTGCACTCTTCACATTCACGATGTGGGTTATGCTTCAGACACTGAGCAGTGATATACCAAAATACCGTGACCGTATTTCTAGTCCAGGTAACGGTGTATTTATTTTTTCATAAACCTCTGTCTAAACAGCTAAGTTTCATTAGAGAGCTTGTTTGAAATATGAACTGCCTGTTGGAAACTGTGATTATTATTCAGTTACTGGTTTCAAAGTTAAAACTCAGCATAAGGTGTGTTATACATGTTCATAGCATAAATTAAGTCAGTATTTTTTTTGTGTGTATGTTCTAACTTTTGCTGTTTTTTTTCTCCAAGTTATTTTCTCTTGCAGTTTATATACATGACAAATTCAATTTTACGTGGACATCCACACAACACATTGTTGTAGAAGTGGGATTATTGTTTAATTAAATTGCTTTAACGGTACTATAAGCCTGTTCTCTTGCATCAGATGGAAGGCCACCTATGATTAGCCTTTGATACTTTGAAGACAGATAGTACTATGGGGATGATCTGCTCAAGAATGTGTCAGGACTACGATACAGTTGCATTTTCCAGAGTTTTCATTGTAGTATTAGATAGCTTTTAATCAAGATGGAACATCTACAGATTCCAGAGGTTCTTGACCTATTATGTAGGGATCCACTGAAAAGAGAGGGTCCCGTTTTATGATGAAACAAAGTCCATGTAACATGTAGCTGCCCCTAAAAGTGGTGTCTTGCTTCCTTTGTATACATGCCACTATTGACTGGTTCAAGTAGCTATATGTGACGGAAGAAAACCCCTGCACAAATGAAAATAAAGGTGGTTGTGTCCCCCGCCCTTATTTTTATTATTTAAATATATTCACAAAAATCTGTCATTACAGGCTATGTTTTAGTGTATCTCAATATTGGAATAAAATTAAGGATTTTAATTTTGAAAGATTTAAAAGATGCTTCTGCATACTGTAATTACACCAAAGATTAGTGTTTTCTAGTGAACTGTTTCTGGAGAATAAGCGTTTGATTTGTGTGTGCAACTGAAGCAATTAGGTCAAACTTTGTAGTAACTTGTCTTATGTTTAAAATCTAACAAAACTAAATGACTATGTAATATTAATATTTTAGTGGAGGTTAGACAATTTTTTTAATACTTTTTCATTTTTTGAACTACAAATTCTAATTGAAAAAATTAACCAGCGTCTTGCAGCTATATCCTGCTTAATAGGATATAGTAGTCTTTGTGTGGACAAGTTGCAATTAGGACAGCATGACAAATGTCTCTTGATTCTGAACAGAATTTGTTTTGATGTAGTGTTCAGGCCTTCTTGTAAGGGATTCTTGAGGATATGTGCTGTTTTTTCAAGCTACAAATGGGCTAAATACTAGAAATAATAATAATGCTTGCATGATTCAAAAACAAAAAAAAAGAGGGGTGGGAGAAAGAAGACGGCTTAGTTGACTGTTTCTCTCCATCTCCTTTGAGTTAGTCAGAATCTTGGTAGTGAATGGAGCTATGGATAGCTGTGACTTGGTACTTGATTTGAGTGATGTTTTTCCTCTTGTGCCTCTCATAGTTAACGGTATTAATTTTCCTTTGTTTTGAAATAAGTCGTAAGTAATGTTTATTTTAAAAATATGTATTTCACAATCAGTTTTTAGTTTAAGAATTCCTATAACATTTCTGAATCACTTTTTAAAATATGTCTTTTAATGATTCATACATGTAAGTTAATAAAATTGCTTTTTTCTGTTTTAATGTTTCTCTTTAACTTTGTCATTTTTCACTTGCAGTGAAACATGTCATGTTCCTGGCTGTAAAACTTTAAATTATAAAAAAAAAAAATCTACACACAAAACCTGGATGGTATAGGTCAAAGGTTTTGCTCTTGTGTTAAACATGCTTGGAAATCTCACAGTTGATTTATTTTGTAATTGATGTCTGACTTGCATTGTACAATGAGTTATAATAGTGTCAATCAAGTCCAGATGATTTAAAACCTTTTTTTTTTTAAATCACCACTTGGAATTGTAGGGTAATATAATCTCTGTTACAATCCTAGATGCTATCCTATGCTGAGGTTGCTAATTCTGTTCTTCCAGAAGAGCCCAAATCCTGCATCTCGTGGTCTATGCATCAGTCCTTCAGTTAGCTTTTTCTGTAGAATTTACACCATAGTCTCTAGGCAGACTGTGATCCACTGGAATTGGAGGAGTCCCTTCCTCTTAGGATGTTTAAGTTCCCCTGATGCAATAAATCTCTTCAAATTATTGTTTCATTCTTTGATGACTAATTCAGTTACTTTGTCATATTCACTATGAAAAGCAATATCTCAGTCCTTCCATTTACAGTATAATTCTTTAGATAATAACAATCTCTTAGTGTGCAAAACCCCTTCAGTTATTTTTAGTCCTTTTAGTAACTTGTATTTTGTTGAATCCTAGTTCATTGTGGAGACTAGAAGAGGATTGTCATAGTGCAAAGTAATTTGCAGTCAAAATGATATTTGTAGTTTTATATAGACTGTCAGTCACTAAGGTATTTAGTTGTGGCTTGCCTGGAAATAATTTAACAGCTGCTGATGCAGAAAGGAGAATTTATGGTTTATTGGAAATCCTGCAAGAAAGGTAGAGTAAAAAAAGCATTAAATTATGTTAGTGGGTTTTTTTAGAATCTAAAATATGTTTGTCTGTGATAAATTTCTAGTATATACCTTTATTATTTCCCAGTTTAAAGTATTTGTAATAATTTCTGCCTTCAGATGAGAAGCTCAGTCATTTCTTTAGGTGAATCCTTAATAGTCCTGGACTGCTTAATTGCACTTTCTATATGTTTTCTGAAAGTGATTGATTAACTACAGTAATGTATTAAGAATCCAACATTAAGACATTATCTAACTTTATTTTCCCACTGTAGTCTTATATTCTTAAATGTTTATTTTGTATAAAGAAAGCCTGATTTTATTTTTATTTTTCAATTTTGGGAGATGAGTTTTGTGTTCTGCCTTGAATTGTATTCATTTGGGTATATAGTTTTAATTGGTTTTGCCAGAGGATAGGAAACCATATGGCATCCTAAGCTGACAGAATTAGTTGCTGCTGTTTCTCTTGTGCCAAATTTGACATTACAGAATCACAGAATGTTAGGGACTGGAAGGGACCTCGAAAGATCATCTAGTCCAATCCCCCCGCCGGAGCAGGTACACCTAAACGATGTTACACAGGAAGGCATCCAGGTGGGTTTTGAATGTCTCCAGAGAAGGAGACTCCAGTACCTCCCTGGGCAGCCTGTGCCAGTGTTCTGTTACCCTTACTGAGAAGAAGTTTCTTCTCAAATTTAGGTGGAACCTCTTGTGTTCCAGTTTAAACCCATTACCCCTGGTCCTACCATTGATTGTCACCGAGAAGAGCCTTGCTCCATCCTCGTGACATATTGATCAAATCATTTTAATATTCTAACTTAGAAGAAAACCAATCTGATAAAAAATGGATTGGTTTTGGTTTTTTCTTTGGTGGAACTACAATGTCAGTTCTCAGCTATATTTGAAGAGACAGATGCATGGACACTCATCCTTTAATCACAAGTGCAGAGTTTTTATCCTTTCTGATTATTTATATTTGATATGAATTACCTTAAGGTAGTGTGAATAAACAATCAATCATGCACCCTCTTTTGAACAGATTTAATCTTCTGTAATATCTTGTGGTGTAGCACTATTTCATCTGCTCCTGAAGCTGTGATGAGTAATAGTGGGACTATGTATCTGTGTTAGTGACGACTCCTGATGGTACAGGGCTGTATGTATTAGTAGAGACCGTGCCTTTTGCTTTAAACTGCTACAAAAAAAATCTGTAATATTTAACACTTTACCTTTATCTACCCATATCCTGGGAAGGACAGTTCATCTTCATCAAGGGCCCAAGCTCTATGTCAGTGTCTGTCTTTTTCATCCTTCAACACAAAGCTGGGCTTTGAGCATTCAATAATCTGTGCTGGTGTTTCTCCTGCTGGTTCTGGCTGTAGGTTGTTCCTGTTCAATACCCTCAGCCAGTAGCTGACCCTGAAGTGTCCAGTGCTATCAGCCTGGAAGGCAGCTCAGGAGTGTTCATAGTTACCACAGCCTAACTGAGGCATAGGCACTTCAAGTGATGTGCACACAGTGGTTTGATAAAGTTTATTGCATTTTCCGTGGAACGAATGACACCTAAACTTTCTGTTTGAAGAGGAGGAAAGGACTAACAACTAACTTGACTTGTCTGTTTTGATTGGAAAATCTTTCAAGCCACCTTTATACATTATAAATTTTTTAAAAATACTTTGGTTTTTGAGAGTTTCTTTGAGATTAATACAATCATAGCTTCACTCTATATTGCCTAAAGCTTTGAAGCATAACTTCAATTGGAGATTTTCTGGGTCGGTTTTGGGTATTATTTCAACTATTTCTGAAGTTTAATATGCTGAATATGAAAAATGAGAAGTCAATCAGTAAAATTATTTGATTGAAAGTGATTAAGGTATTGATTTTGCTATTCATGGTCAGTTGGGCTTGGTTTGTGAATTTACGTTATACGTTGGATTGAAGTATTAATCCATGTAGTGTTGATTTTGATAATTGACTTAAAAAACTAACTACCTTCCAGTAGTGTGGAATATAGGAGTAACAATAATGTTTCTTTATAGATTGAGTATTTTCCAATTTATGGATGTGATTTTTGCATAGGTTAGAGTGGTGTAGGGGAGAAAAGTTGTTTGGTTCTTTACTTGTACTTTTTCTTTTTAAGGACTTATGATTTCACCAAAGCCAGACACTGCATTGGAATTTTACTTTAACAAGAGCGATGCCCAGTCATATGCAGAATATGTTTCCACACTTAGAAAATTCCTTGAATGTAAGTAAGTTACTTACAGCTGCCCAAGTAATTCAGGAGCCTTAATGTTTGAGTACCTTAATTTCCTTTTTCGCTTGTAGTACACAATTGCTAATGAAGACTGTTGCAAGTTCAGGCTTACTCTAGACATGTGTTATTAAAGTATATACTTTACATAAAAAGGTAAATAATCAATACTTGAGTACTGGTAGGGAGCCTGAGCACAAGGAACCTACTGGAAACTTTTGTGTCATAGTCTAGTGTTTTGTGATTTGGTTGTTTAAATAGTACGAGATGTAGAAATTATGTATGCCAAAAGGATTCAATATAAAATTACATTGATCATGTACTTGGAGGCAAAATTTATCAAGACTTAACTGGTCATCTAAATGACTTCTAGTCTTAAGAAATTGAGTGTTTGCCTGTTTAAAAAGTGAGGCACACAAAGGTTAAATTAATTGCAGTTTATTATGTTCAACCTGGTACACAGTATTTATGTTATTAAAACACTGAATTTAGAACATGGAGAAAAGGTAACACAGGACAAGACTGGAGGAGAGCAAAATCAGTAGTTTTAGCCATATATTATGTGCCTGTATGTACAGTTAATCTAGTAATACAGAAATCAGTTTAAAATATTAGTAAGTTTAATCTCTCAAAAGTTATGTGTCAGAATTGAGGAGGTGCTGTAAAATCTTGCCTGTGTGCATGAGTTGCTTTGCTAGCTATGCAAACTGTAATTGAATCTTTCTGGATTCGTAGTTGTGGCATCTACCAAAAGCTTCTATGAGTAGGTTTTTCTTTGAGAGCTTTGCCAAGGGTTCCTGGGAGAATGCTACATTTAGTGATTGCTTGTTTCTGCAAGTAATTGCATTGAGGATGAACTTTCCCTTTTTTCCATTTTCCATTGTTTATGCTTAGCTTAGGGCAGGATGTGGGGGATGGGAACAAAACCAAAAAATGTCTTAAATATGAGTAGATGAGCATTTGTGAGAATGTGGTCTGCACCTGTGAAACACAGGAAAGTGAGAAACTTGGGATATTAGTATAACATCACTTATACAACCTGATTTAAATGTAGGAGCAATTTAGTGTTAGTTATTGAAATACTTGAAGTTCTTCTGTGTGTTTATTAAAAAAAAAAACACAAAACATGCAAAGGGAGAAACTGGTTTAGTTTCATGGTAAACACTTGATTGTTTATATTTTAATCCATAATTAGTTTAGAATTAGTTTATGTACAGGAGTGAAGTTGATTGTTATACTTCTAAGCACAATGCCACTTCCTGATATTCTTTGGAAAAGTGTTTGTTAAGGTGCATAGAAGGTAGTCCTTTGAGAAAGCTAGAAAAGTAGCAACTATAAATTAAATGTTTATATAGGTTTCTGCAGCTTTTTGGTTGTGTGTTTTATATGACTGATTTATGAGCTATTTCTGTTACACAGCATATGATGATTCAAAGCAATCCCAAAACATAAACTGTACACCAGGAAGGATTTTTGATCAAAATGATATTGCTGTTAAAAAGGCATGTCGATTTAACCTCTCTGAGCTTGGACAGTGCTCTGGAAAGGAAGATAAGACCTTTGGCTATTCGAAAGGAACTCCCTGCGTGCTTGTGAAAGTGAATAGAGTAAGTGCCTGTTTATTTTTTTTAATTATTAGTACAAGTGCTCCCAAATACCAGTGTATGAAATGTTACTGTAGAAAAGGACTGAAGTACATGTTCAGTTTGCTTGTCAAGACATTTGCATTTCTGAAATAGTGTAATTTACTGAGATGTCTAGCAATTGATATGTTTCAGAGAGTAAAATGAAGTGCGAGACTTTTGAACATTCTAATATTTAAAAGTATTGACTTTGATTACTTTCATCAAAATATGTGATAACTGTTTTAAGGAGTACAGTGCTCTGTGTTCTAAAGCACTGTCCAGGTAAAGTGTGTTTTACCGCATGTATGCGTTATAGAAATGTAATTGGAGTATAATGCATTCTGTAACTCCTAAACTATGTAAGGAAACTGAGTGAATAAGTATTTGCCTTTTCAGTGATGTTACACATTACTTGAACTGCTGACTGTTTGAGCCATTAATGTTGAATGTAAATTCAGAAAATAGTCTATTCTGTGGCCACTGTAACTATTTGAGCTTTAACTTTACAATGCTTAAAGTGTTAGTCCTAGTCTAAAATTGTGCTTCGTATAAAAAATGACACCAGATAGATTTTTTTATTTTTTTTATTTTTTTTTTCTCCTGGTATGAACTCTGTCATAGTAAATGAGGAAAAGTTTAAATTCAGTTTGTAAAACTAGATGGGGAGAGAAAATCTCTAAAATTTTTAACTTTCTCTCCTTCAGATAATTGGATTAAAGCCTGAAGGAGAACCACGTATACACTGTACATCTAAGGTAAGTTCTGAATGTTAGAAATGTGTGTATTTAGGATGAAAAGTGAAGTAATATACTGTGTCAGAACATTTATTTCACTCTGTTCTTGTTAGATTTTGTTCTTTTTTTTTTTTTTACTTTATTTCATCTTACTCTATGTCTACTTTAGTTTTAGTGTCTTTAATTTCTTCAGTGTGTTTATAAAAATACTTTTTTGGTTTTGTTCTTTCATCCTAAGATGTATTTGAGCTACCTGACTTGCTTTAAAATTAAGGAAAATGCATTCATGTTATTTGTGTTCTTATTTATTGTGAGTTATATTTGTTTTTCCCATTTCATAACCTATATTTTTATTTTTTCTCCATGCTGCAAGTGCACCTTAGACAATTTTATAAATGATGGGTAAGACTCAGTGTGGAAACTAATGTTACTGTTTAAATAAAAGTTGCCTTCAAATCAAGTATAAACTACTTATAATGATGACTAATCTATGCACATTTGTTGTGTACCAATGGATTTACACAGAATGTTTTTTGGCAACTATAATTAATTACTTTGACTTATGCATATTTTTCCTAGACTGCTTGGGGAGCATTGAAAGCCTTGCTCAGTTAGTAGCTTGAGCAAGGAATGGAGTCATGGCTTTTTGCTTGAGATGACTGATAAAAATGTAGACTGGGAAATTTCAGCAGTTAATGAGACACATACTGTAAGTGCTCTTGCCTTCATCCTAGGTACCTGTGGTAGGCATAAATTGTAATATTTGATTTTTTGGAGTCTTTGGAAGTTTTGATCTCCCCATGATAAAAAAGCCAATTAAGTTCCTTCTATTTTTACTAGTACTCTTTCTTCTTTGCCTTCTTTAGTTTATAATTTTTTGTGTCTAGCTGAGGTATTGTTAATGACATCCTCTGTCATCACACTGGAAGTAATGTCTCTTTAGGTGAATCTGCTGTTTGTAGTACCTTGAGTCTTTTAATTGTTTTACTATATAGATTTTTTTCTTTGGGCTATTTCCAAGTACAGATGTATTTGTAGATGTGATTTATTGAGGTTCAGAACTTTGAATTTCATGTTGCTATTTTTGTCTATCCCTCTGTAATTTTTCATGATTGTTTTAATGGGATCAAGTTCTCTGAAGCGTTTCGTACTACTTTAAGCTTGGTGCTGTCCGTTAACAAACTTTCTTTTATATTTTGCAAATGTTTATTGAAAATACTAAATAGGGTCCCTGACAGTCATGTTCATTTCTAATTTGAAAGGCCTTGTGGTGTGTTGAGAAGCAAGTTAAAGTGATTTATAAAACATTGATGGTAATCTTATTTTATTATGATTGTATTTCTTAAACTTTCTTGTATGTATGCTCTGTGAAACAGTGGTAAATAGGAAATCACAGGCGATGCTTTTTCTTATGCTCTTGGCTGATTTCACTAGCAAAAAAGTAAGTTTGATAATGACATGGTTGATCACATTGAGATTTTATGCTATTTTGTTTACCCTTTGAGATATTTATAAATAAATTGCATTATCATAGAATGGCTTGAGTTGGAAGGGACTTAAAGATCATCTAGTTACAACCCTTGCCCCGCCATGGGCAGAGACACCTCCCACTAGACCAGGTTTTTCAAAGCCCCATCCACCCTGTTCTTGGACACTTCCAGGGATGAGACATCACAGTTTCTCTGGGCAACCCATTCCGGTGTGTTACCACCCTCCACCCTCATAGCAAAGAATTTCTTACTAATGTCTAACCTAAATCTACTCTGTTCTAGTTTAAAAACATTACCCCTTGTCCTGTCACCATATGCACTTGTAAACAGTTTCTTGTAAACAGTTTTCCTGTAGGCTCCCTCTAGGTACTGGAAGGCTGCTATAAGGTCTCCCTGGAGCCTTCTCTTCTCCAGGCTGAACAGACCCAACTCCCTCAGCCTGGCCATCCTCTAGAGCCTCTCCAAGAGATCCATAACCTTGTGTTGTGGGCTCTGGAGCTGGATATAGTACTCCAGGTAGGGACTCACAAGAGCAGAGTAGAGGGGGAGCATCACCTCCCTTGACCTGCTGCTGGCCATGCATCTTTTGATGCAGCCCAGGACATGGTTGGCTTTTTTGGGCTGCCAGTGTGCTTTGCTGGCTCATGTTAAGTGCTTCATCAACCAGCACTCTCAAGTCCTTCTCTGCAGGGCTGCTTTCAAGCTGCTCATCTCCCAGCCTGTATTTGTGGTTGGGATTGCCCCGACTCAGGTGCAGGGCCTTGCACTTGGCCTTGAACTTCATGAGATTGGCATGGACCCACACTCCAGCCTGTCAAAGTCCCTCTGGATGGCATCCCTTCCCTCCAGTGTGTTGACCACAGCAGACGGCTTGGTGTCATGAGGAAACCTGCTGAGTGTACACTTGATCCCGCTGTCCATGTTGCTGACACAGATGTTAAACAGCACCAGTCCCAGTACTGACCCCTGAGGGACTCCGCTTGTCACAGGTCTCCGTTTGAACATTGAGCTGTTGATCAAAACTCTTGAGAGTGGCCATGTAGCCACTTCCTTATCCACCAAGTGATCCATCTCTCAAGTCTGTGTCGCTCCAGTTTAGAGACCAGGATGTCATGCAGGACAGTGTCGAATGCTATGCACACGTCCAAGAGGATGACATCTCTTGCTCTTCACTTATCCACAAATGGTGTAACCCTATCATAAAAAATTACCAAATTTATCAGGCAGAATTTTTCCTTGGTGAAGCCATGTTGGTTGCTGCCTCCTCGTTTTCCATGTGCCCTAGCAGAGCCTTCAGAAGGGTCTGCTCCATTGTCTTGCCAGGCACCAAGGTGAGACTGACTGGCTTGTAGTTCTTCAGGTCTTCCTTATCTCCATTTTTGAAAATAGGAGTCAAGTTTCCTCTTTTCCAGTCAGTGGGAACTTTACCAGACAGCTGTGACTTTTCAAATACGATGGAAAATGGCTTTGCAGCTTTGTCTGCTAGTTCCCTCAGGACCCACGAATGAGTCTCGTCAGGTCCCATGGACTTGTGCACCTTCAGGTTCATTAGATGGTCTTGAACCTGGTCTTCTCTTACAGTGGGTGGGTCTTCATTCTCCCAGTCCCTGTCTACAACTTGGATGGTGTGGTTAGAGCACTTACTGTCGAAGATGGAGGCAAAAAAGTTGTCGAGTACCTCAGCCTTCTCCATATCCTTTGTGACTAGGTCCCCCATTTTCTTCTGGAGAAGGGCTCACGTTTTCCCTGATCTTCCTTTTGTCACTGATGTACTTGCAAAAACTTTTCTTGTTACTCTTGATGTCCCTGGCCACATTTAATTCTGTCTGGGCCTTAGCTTGAACAACTGCTGCTTGAACAACTTCTTTGTATTCCTCCCAGGTTATCTGTTCCTGTTTCCATGCTCTGTAGACTTTCTTTTTGCAACTAATAGTGTCCAGGAGCATCCTGTTGAGCCATGCAGGCCTCCTGGCATTCTTGCCCACCTCTCAGTTTGCCAGGATGCATTGCTTCTGGGCTTGGAGGAGGTGATCCTTGAATACCTACCAGCTTTTGTGGGCCTCTCTCCCCTCCAGGGCTGTATCCCATGGTACCCTACTAAGCAAGTCCTTGAAGAGTTCAGAGTCTGCTCTCCTGAAGTCCAAGGTAGCGAGCTTTGTGGAGAAGCACGCACAAACTCCGAGATGGTGGAAAACGGAATTTGCTTTATTGCGAGCAGGCACACATATTTATACTTATTAGCAAGAAGCACTATTTGTAGGTTACAAACAAGAGACCAGACTATGCAGCCAGGGATGTTATTAGCTCATGTACTCCTTCAATCACTCTCCTATCACACAGGGAGAACAGACTTTCCCAGGTCTGTTTTGATCATACTCTCCTGCTCACTCCCATGCACATCTTGTGTACAAGAAGTGTCTTATCTGTTAATTCTCATGGACAAACTCCCAACATGAGCTATACTCAGCTGGTCAGGGTCTCTTTTCATAATTAGCAAGCAAGAGTTGTGGACTTGTTTAGAAAAGAGCTCAAGGACGAAAGTCTTAATTCTGCAACGCAGAGCTGCCAGCACAGCTACTGTAAAATGTAGGGTATCCACAGAGCTTGCTATGTACTCTACTTGTCGTAAGGATCAGGAATTCAGCCATTTCATGGTCCCTGCAGCCAAGATTGCCCTTGAGCTTCACATTGCCCACCAGCCCCTTCTCATTGGTCAGAACAAGGTCCAAGCGTAGCACCTTTTCTTGTCAGCTCCTCTACCACTTGGAGGAGAATATTATTCTCAGGAAAATTATTCTCAAGAACCTACTGGACTGCTGATGCCTTGCTGTGTTGTTCCTCCAACAGATACCGAGGTGGTTGAAGTCCACCATGAGGACCAAGGCTTGTGAATATGAAACTGTTCCTATTTGTGGATAAACGGTCTCATCCACTTGGTCTTCCTGATCAGACAGCAGACCCCCACTATAATAACGCCTGCCCCTGCCTTGCCTTTAACCCTGACCCATAAGCTCTTAGGCAGTTCCTCGTTCTTCCCCAGATGCAGTTCCATGGTCACTGAGGGGCCACATCCTCTCCTCTTCTCCCCTGCCTGTCTTTCCTAAAGAGCTTATATCCATCCATCCCTATACTCCAGTTATAGGACCCATCCTGTCATGTCTCAGTGATGCTGATAATGTCACAGCCCTGTAGGTGCGCACACGTCTCTAGCTCCTCATATTTGGTCACCATGCTATGTGCATTAGTATAGAAGCATTTAAACTGGACCCCTGCTGAAGCTGACTTACTGGCTCAAATTCCATTTAATTCCATTTAATTTTCTCCTTTTATCTCAGCCTTATTTTTAGAATTTTTCCAGAACGTCTTCTTTCTGTTGTGCAGAAAGAATATATGTATCTATATATATATATCTATATATCTTACTGAAACCCCTACTTTGAACACGAAAGGATTACGCTGTTCTTTATGTCGGCTTATGAGGCTTTGATTGCAATTGTGTTTGTATTTCTTTGACTCTTTAAGATATGAGTGTTGTTTAACGGTCTCTTCCTCATCTGTAGAGGGTAAAGTGAATGCTTAGCTGGAATTAATACCTTCTGGATTTTCTTAATTCAAGGATGTGGGCTGTGATCCTTTTGTGTGCACACTGGAAAGGTGGAGAAGGATAGCCAATAGATATCTGTGCATTTCGCAGACAAATTTATAATTACATTGCATCTGCCACTGTATTTGAATATTCCCTAAATATGGCTTATAACAGAAGTTGAAGTGTACTGGTCATTTGGACTTCCCTATTGCTTCTCTTGCTCAGAGTGTTTACCTAGGCTTTAAGTACCTGTTGTGTTGTGTTGCAGTGTTTTGAGGTTTGTTTTTCTTCCTTCTGTGTTGCTGTCAGCAAATGTGGGTTGAAAGAGATTAATCCAGGTGACACGCATTTCTGAAAGTAAATTCTGCACTGGATATTAGCTTCGTAGAATTTAAGCATATTTGTGCGGTTCATAACACAAATCAAGCAAATCTTATTTGCTTTAGAAATCTTTAACATCTGCGTGACAAAGATCAGTTTTGCTTAAAAACATGTAATTGAACAGTGGAAATCCTGCTATCATGTTCTCTTCATTATAGAGCAGACTTTTTTAAAAACCTGTAGATTTGCTGTTTACCAATTTTTCTTTCCTCTTCATATGTTGAGGGCAATTTGGAGAAGTGTCTGCCTGGACTTCACATTTTACAGGCAATTATTTATTTTTACCTGGAAATTTTTTATGCTTTTTAAATGAAGAGGACAAGTCTCTTAAGTACAGAGTGAGGTTAATCGCTTCTGTCTGTGTATCCTGCTAGTCTTTGCCAGCTGAAACATCATTTAAGTTATATACTTCGAAATGCATGCTCTTTAGGCATTCTCCTGTGAGGTGATTCTTCTTTCTTCTCCCTGCACTTTTCCTATATTTTTTTTTAAATAGAAAAGTTTTAGATAGATCTGTCATTTCAAAGCCAGCACACTTGAGAGTTGGGGATGTTCCTCCCTCTGTGCCCACATAGGGTAGCTGTGATCACTGTAATTCATGTAGATTAGGGAAATCAGTGTTTGCAGTGTCAGACACCAAGCACAGCTGGTCCTTTCTCCTTTGCCCTGGAGGAGCTGGGCTGCTGTAGTCCTAAGGATCTCCACAGAGAGAAACAAGCCAAAAAAGGATTGAGTTTCCAAAGAAATTGGAAGACCAGCATTTCAGGTCTCTAGTTTGGGACTGGAAGTATACAATTTCATGTGGTCTGGAACACCTTCAACTGAAACTACCTTTACTGAATACTTGTAGATTTTATGCATGATTTACTTTTTTTTAACTGCAGAGAAGAAGGATGGCCTTAACTCTGTATTTCTGATGTTTAGTGACTTGTATTGGGTATCACTTTCTAGTAGAGTGGCTGTATGAATGACACTACGTGACTTGCTATTGTCCACATATTCAGCATCTGAGTTACCTTGCTTTTTGTGACAGAAATATTAGATGTTTTACAGTTTCTACTATTACATACTGCTCTTCAACTTGTGCAATGATACTGTTTCTTCTCAAATTACTGTAGATCAATTTTGCCCAAGTTCTTTCGTTGGGTCTTTGTACATTATTTTAACATCTACAAAATTACTCTTTTTAAGATGCAGTCTTAATAAAGACCAGGTAAGAGAGGTTGAAGTCTATCTGTCCAGCTAAGTGGTCTGATTTTTAGATTTGCTGACTGCTTGCCACTCTTTTCCAAAAATTGTAAATGGCAGTCAGAACAAGTGATACTTACTAAGGGAATGATTCTTGAAGATCTTCAAAGCAACTGCAGCCTGTTTAGGTCTTGGGGTTTTTTGGTTTTTTTTTTTCCTTTTAAATGTGTAGGGAGAATAATTAGGATTAATTATTAAAGAAAACTCCAAACCCCACAGCAGTGGCTGGAGACAGGCAGTTGCATGTCCCAGAAACTCTCTGCTACTGCATTGATAGCATAATGCATATATATTTACGACTGCATGCGTGCATGCCATGTGTTTAGCTGCTGCAGAAAGCTCTACTCCTATTTATCTTTCTTATGTTCTTCTGTATTCTGGTTGTTCTTAACAATTATTTCTGAAATATATTTGAAAATTGAGTATTTTCAGCTGCATGAGCTTTAAATAAAATAAAGAGTAATGGTGAAAAGCAACATGTTTCTACTTAAAAATTATATTTACTAGCTCAAGGTCTTGTAATAATTTATACTGCAAAGGAACAACATGTGGCCATATCCTAGACAACAGTATATTCTTCTGAGGAGGTGAAGAGAAAGTATTCATGAGCTGTAGTTTGTTCTTTACTAATTTTTGATCTTTGAGTTCCTATTGACATCCTCTTTTGCTCTGTTCTATTACTGCAGTTTTCCTCTGAACTTTGTAGTGTATCTTTTTAAAATTGCAGGTCTATATGGGTATGGTAAAAAACAGTGAAAGTTACTAATCCACTTGGAACTTGTGAATTACACTGAACAAGCAGTGATGTTCTGAAGATACATTTAGCATTTCGGGGAGTGTTAGTGGCATTTCCATTTATCACTGTATTATGTTTATTCTAGAAAGTCACATTAGATATGGGCATTACCGAATAGTTTGAACTTTGCAGTAGTTTGACATCCTGCCAGAATACACAATCCTGAAGAATCTCGCATACCGGGAGATGTGTCTATGTACTGCTGTGCTGATAGCCTATGTTTCGGACATCTCAATCATATATACGTATTTTGTATATTTTACACATTGGGTGACTTGTTAGTCAGAAATTAAGCGGCAACTTTGTAGGTAGCTGCTTCTTATTACAAGATTTTGGATTATAAGGGAAAATTAGCAATAAGGTATGCATATGTATATTGTTCCTCTAAGGTAGTGGATGACACACAGAAACTCTAGTAACATCACAGTTTTAAGGTAGACTTTTTTTAGCTAGACTGTATTCCAAGGCTATCTGGATAAGTGTTAGGAATAGTACAGCATTGCAGGGAGGGGGCTATAGTTCTTTTGTGATGGGTTATATTGTTCCAAATTTGAGAGGCTTAAAAACCTGGCTTTAAACAGAAATTCATCTTCCGCTTAAATAGAGATGTGCTTTTGCTTCACCAAAATATACAGGCTTGCTTGTATAGTTTGGCTTATATATCGGGTGGGTTTGGTTGTTGAATTATTCATTGCAATCTCCACTCCCTTTTTCTTTGACTCATAAGGGAAACATGGAGGCAAGCTGTCTTGACTTGATTACTAATTTAAATACTACGGTTATTAATCCTTACTGTAGCAGATGTGTGCAGCATGTAACTGACAAAAATCTATTTTGGAAGTTATTTTAAAAGATTGTCGCTAGTTGCCTTTTGTAGGGATCTTGCACTTCATCATTGGGTTATAATTTGATTTTTGTATTCATGTTTTTTAACTTTTAATTGTGTTGCTATCTCGAATCACAGGAAGAAGGCATGGTTGAGATAACTTACTTTCCTCCTGAAGGCTTGATCGACTTAATGTACTTTCCATACTATGGGAAAAGATTGCATGTAAGTATGCTTTAATGATGGTCTTTATTTTGTAAATTATGTAAGTTATAGAATCATACAATGGCCTAGGTTGGAAGGGACCTCAGAGATCATCTAATCCAACCTCCCTGCCATGGGCAGGGACACCTCTCAACTAGATCAGGCTACTCAAGGCCTCATCCAACCTGGCCTTGAACACCTCCAGGGAGGGGACATCCACAACTTCTCTGGACAATTTATTCCAGAGTCTTGCTCTCCTCATACTGAAGAATTTTTTCTTAAGATCCAACCTAAATCTGTTTTCCTTTAACTTAAACCCATTTCCCCTTGTCCTATCAGTGGACACTTTTGGGAAAAGTCCCTCCCCGGCCTTCCTGTAGGTTCCCTTCAGGTATTGGAAGGCAGCTATTGGGTCCCACCAGAGTCTCTTCTTTTCAGGACTGAATAATCTCAGTTCCCTTAGCCTGTCCTCATAGCAGAGGTGCTCTAGCCTCTGAATCATCTTTGTGGCCCTCCTCTGAACTCACTCTAGCAGATCTATGTCCCTCTTTCGGTGGGGACACCAGAACTGGATGCAGTATTCAAGGTGGAGTCTCACAAGAGCAGAGTAGGGGGGGGGAGAATCACCTCTCTAGATCTGCTGGCCACACTCCTCTCTGCATCCCAGGATATGGTTGGCCTTCTGGGCTGTGTGAGCACACTGCCAGCTCATGTTGAGCTTCTCAGCATGAGCTGGTAGCATGCTCATGTTTACGTTCACAATAATACCAGATTAATTTTGAAGTTTGAACTTTGTAATGAGGTACTCCCAAGGAATATGCAGAAATTTCAGTGTTTGAGATTAAATATATGCTTTAGCAGACACAAGCAGATAAACTGGGCATTTTCCTAATGAAGAAAAGGCTGCATGCTAGCAGCATTAAGGGCATCTGCTGCTTTTGGGTCACTGATATCTTTTGAAATCTTTTTGAATGCAGGGAAAGACAAGAAAAATAAACTGGTTCTTTGGATTACAATAGTTCCCAGTACTTAATCCATGGAGTTTATATATAGTATATTAAGTTTATAATTCATTATGGTATTGTTGATTATTATTTATTTGTGGCTTTTCAATCATGTTTTCTGTTTTCTCTATTTATGAAGAAGCACTTCAAAGTAGTAGATTTTTTTAAATAAATCTTTTTATTTATTCAAATTTTCTTATTTTTGTTTTACTTTGCTTGCTCCATCAATCCTAATTGTAGTGTTACATAAATCTTATTTATCTAATTGAAGAACACTCATTTTAAAAAAAAACAAAGCTCACTACTTGATGAACATAGAAGCAGAGTTAAAACTCCAATTTCTTTTCTAACTTGAATTGTTATTTCTTCTTTTCTTGCATCAACTTGTGATAACTACATACAGAAAATGTGTACCTTGTATAAAATATAGTATTGTCTGTTTCTGACCAAGTTACTTAGTCTAATAAACATCTTCACTATTCACCACTGAAGATAAAAGTACTTTTTCCACATAAATCTATTAGTTCCATAGTATCCCACAGTGGTTGTTCATAATTTCCCAGAAGTGATTTTTGTACTAAATTGTTCCCTTAACAGTGATTTTTTTTTTTTTTTTCAGTGTACTCTATACTTACTTGCAGTAGTTCACATAACTTTGGAGGTTTTATTTTATTCTCTCATGACTTTTACTGATGAGCTTGGTTTTCTTCTACATTTGCTTTCATGCTATTTATGGGTAGGTCTGTGTTTTCTGAATTGCTAAACCATTCATTTTCTTAGACGTACAAGATTAGAGAGAGACTGTCAATCTGTGATTCCGACAGGCATACAATACATACTCTGTCCTCTTCTTGGAATGTGAGAGCTCTGCTTCCCTAAGAAGTGAAAAGTACAGCATCAATAGACCTTGAGATGTCAGGAGGTAGTTTATATCAAAGATGGGATGAAGAACTTCCCTGACAGAATTCCCGTCTTGCTGCTACACTGATGGAAAAGGAGAGATTATGAGAATAATGAACACAGGCAAAACTAAACTCTGTTCTTTGCTTGATTTAGGCTTGATTTAGATTTGATTTAAGCTTTTTTAAAGAAGTTTTTTGTTCAATATCCTTTCATGTTCACTTAGTCATGTGGGATAAGGGCTATGGTTTGAGGGATTCCTACTTATGTAAAGTTCAGTTTTCATAGCATTAGCATATTGTGAAAAAGAAGAGGGAGAAAGAATAGTTGTGAGAGGTTGAGGAATTTTTATCAGTCTTGAGACTGAATAGATTTCTTGTATATACAACAGAACTTTTATGTTACAGCAGTGTGGAATTGTCAAATTGCTTTATTCTGTGAAAGAGTTAAGAGGATTCAACTAATCTTGCTGCTCTTGTGCTAAATTAAGAGCCGTAAAAGTACCAACATCTACAGTTTTGTGGTCCAGAATGGTTATTTGCCTTTTGCTGCTCAGCACAATAAACCCAACTCTCTGACCTGAGGGAACATTACCTTTTTCAGATGATCTGTAGTGCTTAATAGGGATGCTGATTCTCTTTCATCTGCCCCTCAAATTGTGCATTGAGTAGAAGTCCATTCTGTCTTCAAAACATCATAGCATTTGAAAAATCTTGGCAGAGAGAAGACTTCTACAAGGAAACAAGAATTTTATTTCTTATTTTTATAAAACTCAATTAGTACCTCAGGTGTGGTATCACCCTTATAACCAGAGAATTTTGAGGATGCCTTGCCTAGCTGCATTTCCCCCTCCCAGTTTGAAGTTTATAGGAACACAGGAAAATATCTGATCGCGATAGCAAAATCGCGATCCAAGGAAAGCAATATTTCAATCTACCACTTAGTAATATTTCACATTAAAGATTCCAGCACATCAACTTCCATGACATCATTCTTTTTAAATGAGATTTTGAGTACTATGTAGTGCTTTTGTTGATAGAGAAGGTAGCCTAAAAATAACAAATGTATTAAGGAGTCTCTTAAGTTAATGAGGAGAAAAAAAATATCTTAACACAAAATTTTGTTCAGTTAAAATTTAAGGCTTGTGATTGTATAATACTGTAGTGTCATATTTAGCCCACTGGCTTATGTGAGTTTTTACCAAGAAAATAAATAATTTTTCTTAATCAGCAATCAGCAGTATTGACCTAAAATTACAAAGAAATTATTGAAATACTTTATGAAATGCTGCTTTAATATTGTATAATAAACAATCTCTTATTTAATTCATAGGCACTTTATAAAAAAAAATCAAGTTGTCCTAATTGAGTTGGAGTTCAGAAATAATACTGGGTTGACAAAAATTTAATTGTGCATTCATTCCTAAATTTTACCTTTTCATTATAGGGAATGGATTCAAGAATTGTAGTTGTTCCAGTAAATATGATTTACCAGGGTACTCTCAGAATATTTAAGAAATCATTTCTATGTAAAGCTATCAAACAGATAACACATTTGAAAATGGATTGTTGCTAAACAAGTAAATGGGATAGGTTGAAAGGGAAACTAGTTTACTGGTATTTGTTGAATCATGCTTTTGGCAAAAAAAAAAAAAGCTTAAAACTGTGCTAGAAAAGTTATGTTTTATAGCAGATTAAAAATAAACAAGCAAACAAACAAAACACAAAAAAACCCAAAATAAATGAAATCAAGAAAAGAAACAAAACCCAAAATAACAGAAGAGACAAAGGAATGGATAGGAAGACTAATTTCAGAGGCTGTTTCATGTAGATGTTTCTAGAAAAGTTGGAGTCAGTACATTAGAAAGGGGAAAAGTTGTATGCCTCTTGAAGATGCTGTTTGTGACTTAAATTATGTTGACTTAAATTATTGTGACTTAAATTATTAGTTGAGAAATAGTATGAAGGATTTATATCTCACTGTCTGTCTTTGGAAAAAAAAAGTCTTACCTGAGTCATTGGGCTTTGAAAATTTGAGTTCTTAATTAGCTTTTTTTTCTTAATTAGCTGTTCTGATGGATTAAATGTTAATTTAAACACTAACTTACTCTAGTGTCTCAAATATCTTTCCCATCTTTCTGTTTACTAGGCTCACTATTTACAGCCTCTGGTGGCTGTTCAACTAGCGATTAACTCCAACACTACCAAAGAAGAAATAGCAATTGAGTGTAAGATCCTGGGCTCACCTAATTTAAAAAATGAAGATGACCGTGACAAGTTTCTGGGACGAATTGCTTTCAAAGTTCAGATGACTGAATAGCTGGAGTCAAAAATTATCCACAAAGTAAATGTTGTCTGTTTTGTATCAGCTGGACATGCCATTCTAGCATATGAGACCACCATGGAGAATGTTAAGGTGGCTTATGTTGTTCAGGTAGCATATTAATATGCTTCCAAATCTTATGTTTAAAATCCCTCAAATTAAATGCCTATCCTGCTTCTGCCTGCCCCACTGGAACAGTGTACAGACTATAGTTATGTTATAGGGACCTGTAAATAGCCGTTTTCAGACACATAATAATGGTGACCATTGTCGCGTTCTGAAATGTGGTTTTATCCCCCAAGTGAGTGTCTCAAGCTTAATGTGCTGTGCTATGTAAATATTGTATTGATTTAACACTGGTTTAACTGTCATATCTCATTGCTGCCACAGTTATAGGGATAAATAATAAATGGTACCTGATTGACGTAGTGATTTTTTTGTAAGAGTAACACCGCCAACTTAAAGTGTGTGTATGGGACTGGACGGATGGATGGACGGATGGATGGAGATGCCTTAAATTGTCGACTGGGTAGTGTGGGGGAGTTGAAATGGATTTTAAGAGTTGCTGTGGATTTCTGAAAGTAAGTGCTCAACTAGTACTTCCTTTTGCTTGTCACTGTGCAAGTATTGTGTACATGTAATACTTGTTATAGAGTTTGGCATTCTAGCTGAGGAATTGAATCTTTCTTCACGTTGTTAATTGCTTGCAATATATGGAGCACAAATAAAATCCAAACAGTATTTTAAAACTTTTAGTCCAAAAATATCAATATACAAAAATTTAAAATTGTTTAAGGTCCTAGTAACAGTTGTACAACAGAGCTGCTTGAAAGAAATGACCTCACTATTGTGGGAATAGGCTTTCCTGAAGAACTTCTGTTACAAAAAAAAAAAGAAAAAAAAAAAAGATTTGTCTTGATTAAACATAAATGTTTAATGTGTATACTCTGTTTCATTGCATCATTTTAACATACTTCGTGTCTTTGTCTGCTTTTTCATCTTAGAATTTCTGTGTATTTCCTCATAATCCATTTAGCAAATTGGTGCCATCAGCTGCTTTATAGATATATCTTGATGAATTGTGTGGATTACTTGCAGTTTAACTTAAATATTTTTATTAATTTGGTTGCTAAGATGACTGGTTTATTTGTGATTGCTCCACACATTAAACAAGTTGACCCATTATATTGTGTTATAATGTCTGCAGTTGTGCTAACGTGGGATTTATATTATGCTTCTCTAGAGTTTTTGTTTGTTTTGGTCTCTTCTTTTTGAGCACATGATCCACATTGTTGATGTCTACTTAATATTAAAAGACCACAGCAAATCCACATAAAGGTATTTACCTTTATGTTCTGCTAGTTAAGCCCAAGTTTGTTACTTAACATGCTTTTAGGCCTCTTACAGTGACAAATTAAATGAATGGTAATAGAATTTAAGGTCCAGTCCCAATGCCCTGCTTTGAAAATGTTTGAGACCAGTCTAAGCCACATTTCTGTAAAGCTTTTTAACACTGCAAGCTTAACTGGTGTAGTTGGAGGAAGCTGTTACTGATGGGACATGAACAGTGTCTTGAACCTCATTAAAAATAGATTTATACTGAGCTGATACCATTCAGCATGCTTTTTTGCTGTCAACAAAAGAAATACTGTATGCAATGGATACATTTGTAACAGTAGCATGCATTAATACCGGGTAAGAATGTTCTTTCAAAATACTCCATTACTAATGTTTTTTATCATGCACTTTTGGAACTGGGATACCTGAGTTCTTGAACATATGACTGATTGCTTCTCTGTATATTAATATTGCCTGAAATTATTTTATAGTCATGAGGGAACTTAAAGTGTAGATGTTGCGTCATATGAAAATGACAGGGACTAGCTTCGTGTGATTAAAAAAACCCGAAACAACCCACTTTTGTATTCACTTAGGAATGGTAAGAAGCTCTAGAGAAACATCTCAGTTTTGAAGTGCAACAATTTTTGCAGCAATTTCTCTTTCAACTTACCTATATAGACAAAGCATGAAATAGCAACCCTTCACCAGCACTTTTCAGGCAGGTAGAACTCAATAAATTTGTGTTCTTCCTAGATTTTGTAGAAGTGGTGTTGTTCTTTTTTAATTTATTCACATAAGAATTATCAGTTGGGGGAGGAGAAAGGGGAAAAAAAACTTTTGAAAGGGTTCAGCTAAAAAAACCTGGCATGTAAAATGTATGTAGGTAATTAGTGTTAAAACTACGTAATTGAATTATTTTCTCATTTTTATTTGCTTTTTTGGTTTTTTATAAGGTTTGGACTTAATTACGGGAAAAGTGCTATATGGTTAAATTAGTAATGAGATTATACAGTATCAAGTACATGAGATTTTAATGTCAATCTTGTGTAAGTCTCTAGATTTTTAAGCAGAGAGAGCATTATTCCATTAATGCAGGATATAGAATGATGAAAGAAGATAGAGGAGGTGATAAAACCATTAGTTCAGAATAGGGAGTTGTTCTGAGCACTGACAAAGAACTGGTGTGCAATGCCGGTGATGGTGTGTATTGTGTTTGCTTCAGCCATACTTAAAACTTGCCTGGATGTCTTCATAACAGAACGAGAGGAGAACAGAAAAAAAACCCGAAACAACACTTCCAGGATTGTTCTGAAAAAAAGTGCTCTGTAGATCTTGAATTTTAGTTTGCAGTCACAAGTGTCTGTGGGCTCATGGTTGTCAGACACAATTGGATCACAAATTTGAAATGCACACACTGTGGAATGTATCTTGGAACTTTTAAAATGTACATCAGAGTCTGGTTTCTCATATGGGAGAAGGAAGATGAAGGGATAATAATCACAATTTTTTTCTTGCTGCTTTTCTTCCTGCTCAAAGATTAGCTCTGATTAATTGGTAATACTTCCTTTTGCTATGGTTTTTTTTTTTAATAGTTGTATTTACCTCCCCATCTGTTCACATTTGGTAGTGGAATAGATAATAGAAGAGTATCAAAGATCCTCTGATAAGTCTTTTCATTTATTGCTAGAGTTGGGGAGGCTATCTAGAAGGAAAGAGCTTTTTTTCTGTAATATAGCCATCTGGTAGGGCCAAATGTATTGCAGACCCCTGTAGTGTTTTACCATACACACACGAGCCCTGGTTTGTGGTGTTCTTCAGGAAACTGCAGCTGAGAAATGTTGAGAAACACATACACTGAGCTGCGTGCTCTAACAGCTTACTGGTTTTTGACCATGTGATCTTTTTGCAATAATGTACACAGTCTATAGCTTAAAATTTGAGGTATGATAATTGATATGGATGCTTCTAATGGTTTGACAAATACCTTGAAAATTAGTCTGTTTTAATTTGTCACCTGTGTTTTAGTGGATCGGTGTATTTATATAAAGCCTTGCTCCCTGCTGCAGTGTAACACAGCCAAGCAAAAAGCTGCTGCAGTGGATCTCGTGTTTCCAAGTGCCCCAATGTGTTAAAGTAGGTCAAAAATTGCATAAGATGCCATTAGTGGAAACTGCTGTAGGCTAACTTGCAAATTAAAACTCAGCGGTGCAGCTAGCAAATGCACTCTGACAGAAACTCAGCCATGACTTAAAACACGATGTGAGCTCTCTGAAATCTCTCTGGGACATGAATGGCTGTTGGAATCAGCCATTGAATTGACTGCCCCTTGAGTTCATGTTCCTGCTATCTGCTGACGCAGTCAGTTGCCTGCCTGACTTGTCAGAGGTTGCACATTGTTCTTGTCTGCAGGGAGCTCAGGCACAAGGCTCCTTAACTCATTGTGGTTCAAAGAAAGATGTATTCTTTATTTTCCTGCTTACCAAGCTTCTCTTACTAACTTGCATAGCACAGTGAAAATCGCATAAAGTTAAGAGGTAAGTGCAAAAATCTTTGTGGTTTCTGCACATTGGAGCAGCCACTCCTCAACTGCTGTTCAGTTCAATGCTAATGTGCCCTGTAGAGCACTGAGCAGAGTACAGTGCTTGGTTTTGCTCATTTGAAGCACTGCTTTATAGCATCAGCACAGAGGGGACCATACATACCTAGCTACCCAATTTATGTAGTAGTTTACCTTCTTTACAGAGTTACAAAAATGTGTAACTGGAGAAGGAAAAGGTAGTTCTTAAAATATGTATTATCAACTTCAAAAGCTCATTGGTGTGCATTCTTTTTCTGGTGTTTGTGCACCCTGTACCCACTGAACCAGATTCACTTGGTTAGCAGTGTCTGTTGGCCCACTCTGTTCCCATGCTGTGTACTTCACTACACTGGGCAGCATTCAAAACAGTGTGTGGGTCACTTACCTCCTGATTTTTTATCCTTCAAGAGTTTGATCACTGTTAAGGGCAGTATTCTGTATTTTTTTTCTTCTTGCCACTGATATTTTCATATCTTTTTCTAACAAAAGTTAGCTGAATAGAAATAAGAAAAAAATGCCCAGTTTGAGGGCTCATACCCATTAGCAGTGTATTTGTTTTCATAGAATCATGGAACAGCCTAGGAAAAGGACCTTAAGAGATCATCTGATCCAACCTCCCTGCCATGAGCAGGGATGCCTCTCAACTAGTAGTCCGGGCTACTAAGGGTTTCATCCAGTCTGGCCTTGAACCCCAGAGAGGGGGCAGCCCCATCTCTGGGCAATTTATTCCAGAGTCTTGCACCCCTTTTTCTGAAGATTTTTTTTTTTTTTCCTAAGATCCAATCTAAATCTATTTACCTTCAGTTTAAATCCATTTCCCCTTGTCCTCTTGGTGGACACTTTTGGGAAAAGTCCCTCCACAGCCTTCCTGTAGGTTCCCTTCAGGTATTGGAAGGCAGTTACAAGATCCTGCCAGAGCCTTTTCGAGACTGAACAATCCCAGTTCCCTTAGCCTGTCCTCATAGCAGAGGTGCTTCAGCCCCTGGATCATCTTTGTGGCCCTCCTCTGAACTCATTCTATGTTCCTCTTACAGTGGGGACACCAGAACTGGATGCAGTATTCAAGGTGGGGTCTCACAAGAGCAGAATAGAGGGGGAGAATCACCCCCTCTTGATCTGCTCGCCACACTCCTCTCGATGCGTCCCAGGATATGGTTGGCCTTCTGGGCTGCATGAGCGCCCTGCCGGCTCATGTTGAGCTTCTCGTCTATCAACACTCCTAAATCATTCTCCTCAGGGCTACTCTCAACCCACTCTGTGCCCAGTTTGTATTTGTGCCTCGGATTGGCCCGACCCAGGTGCAGGACCTTGCATTTTGACTTGCTGAACCTCATGCAGTTTGCGCTGGCCCATTTCTCAAGCCTGTCAAGGTCCCTCTGGATGGCATCCCTTCCCTCAAGTGAGTCCTCGGCACCACAAGCTTGGTGTCATCAGCAAACTTACTGAGGTTGCACTTAATGCTGTTGTCCATGTTGCTGACAAAGATGTTGAACAGCTCTGGACCCAGAAGAGACCCCTGAGGAACTCCGCTTGTCACTGGTCTCCACGTGAGCATCGAGCCATTGATCACAAGTCTTTGAGTGCAACCAGTTCCTTATACACCGAGTGGTCCATCTGTCAAGTCCGTGTCTATCCATTTTAGAGACAAGGATGTCATGTGAGACAGTATCAAATGCCTTGCCCAACTCCAGGTAAGTGACATCAGTTTTAACTGTGAACCATTTATTAGTCGTAAAATATACCACTTCATGGATGTATTTTTCCAAAGGTTTGAAATAGGGGTACTCCTCTGTGGAATGAATTAATGAGACCTATGTCTGAGTCTGGCAAGAA